TGTTCTGTTTGCTTTATAAAATAGCGATATTGAGTTTATTATTTGATTTTATTTTTACTTCTTTAAATATTAAAAAAATTGCATTTTCTTATGTATGTAATGTATTGTGATGTAATATGTAAAATACTAACTGTCGACCGCGACTTCGTGTGGACAGGATTAAAAAATAGATCTCAGACCTACTCAATATAAAATCGGTCAAGCCGTTTTGGAAGAGTGTGGTAACTAACATACTTTAATACATATACATTAATTTTTAATATTAATTTTTTAGTACTGTTTTGTATAAATAAAAGTGCCTTTAATTGCTTAAAACAAAACAGGTAAAGTATAATTTACACTTGACATCACTTAAAGCTTTCTAATTGTATTATACTTATGTTCTAACTGGTGTCGCCAGGTGTACAAACAAGCTGTCGTTGAAACGCAACTAGTTTATTTAGGACCAACCGAACAAATACAACTTCAGCTGTAGTTCGTTCTATTTACTACTGATTTTACTGTCTTTTGTAACGTTTTCAAAGTGTGTTTTTAAAAAACTTCATAACTAATTAACGAACATTAATAATAGAATTGCTACATTGGAGTATATCTTACTTCTTACAAATATTATAAATGCGAATGTTTGGATGTATGAATTGGTAGATGGGTGGATGGATGTTTGTTAGAAGCTCCAGAACGGCTTAACGGATGTCGGTGACATTCGGCATAGATGTAGAGCATGGTCTGGAAGAACGCATAGATATAAAAATTGTTGTTGAAAAAAAAATAACTATAAAATTTAAAATAAAATTATGATTCTCTAATAATTAAGAAAAAAATTCGAAGTCAATCGTATACCAAAATTAAATAATTAAGCTTGCGTTTCCAAAACAATAGCGTGAAAATGTGAAAGCATCGAATTCAGTTGTTTTGTCCTAAGCTAACAGTAAACGTGTGCGAAACAAATATAATTACAGTGTGCCGCAGTTACGGTTTCTTGTTTGTCTGCTTGTTTCTACGAATGGGGAAACTGGGGAACTGGGAACTGCTACATTTACACCACTCACAACTTAGTTGTTTTCAACTCTGTAATTGGTGCGAAAAGTTATTTATGTACGACCTGTTAAGGTCACTTTTTGAAAACAAATTAAGAAATTACGTTATGTTACATTTTACTGTTTTTTAGAATGTATCTCAACGGACGTCGCTGAACATACATTTAGAACATAGTGTAGGCTACTAATAAAGGCTTTTTTCTTTAATTTCGTGCGGATATAGTTCCGACCAAAACTTAGTTGTTTGTAATTCAACTGTATCTCTAAAAATCTATCAATTTCAAGGATAAATGGCTTCAGGGAGTTGCAGTGGAACGGACATATTTTTGGAATTAAACAAACATTTTCAACATATTATTTTAATATTAAAATTAGTTATTTAATATATTTTATAATTCAGTTTCTTTTATGAACTTAATACTATACATTTTTTCTTTATTATTTGATTTTCCCGAAATCGTTTATATATCATGTGTATTGGAAATCATTAGGGAACCACACATAACATTCATATGTGCTTAAAGCACTTATATAAAACGATGCTTAACCTCCATAAAATTATTATTACAGCCGGCCAGCCAACCACCGCTGTCGTAAAATTATATTTAATGCATTATATCTAAACTGAATAATAAACGATATGTTCGTTTTGATTTTAAATATTTTGTTTATTTTTAGAATATACAAAAAAAGTGGAAACATGTAATGCTCAGAAATGGTGACTGACAAGTCTCAGATAAATATGTCGAGGATAGAATGAAGAAAACTTCATAACTTGAGATAGTAATTTACCATTGAACTTTGTAGATGAAGAACTATGGAGCTAAGTTGAACTGAGATTATTTGAAAGAGAACACTTAAACGATATGTTTACTTGCGCAATACTTAACATGTAAAGCAAAATGTATACGGAAAATGGCATAAAATATGCAAATTCTAGGTTTTAAAGTTCTGATATTAGTGTTAGCTCTTGCAGATTAAAAAAGCGCTTTTACCTTACAAATTGTGTTTATCTTGCCATAATATAAACTAATTCATCCATCATATGACGGCTACATATTAAACAATTAATGTAATTTAAATTTTATGATTACTAAAATAAGTTTTAAAACCAACCGTTTCACCGGTTTTTAATATTGCAGTAATATGACTGCAATATATTTTTAAGCATTAATATTATCTCTTTGAAAAAAGTTAAGTTCAGCATAGCGTAATAAAATAGTGTGTGGGATGAAAACGGTGGGGAAGTTTTAGCGATTGGCTTATCAAAGCGGTTCAAACGTCCGAGCTTCGACTGTCAAAAAGTTCGTGTCCACGTTGAAAAAATACAAGCTCAATCTTTGTCCGTTTGCGGTACGAACAGCCGGAAGGGTCTACCGTTTCTATATACCTGTATTTTTAAAATGAGGGCGCGTATTTCCTTTGTGTTCCATTTCATTCTAATTTACGAGAGTACAAAAACGATTTGAATTGTCAAAATGCGCTTTGCTTATTTGTTTCGTTTTTATTTCGCGAAACGGAGCATACTATATAAAAATATAAACCCTAAAGTCCTTTCTCAGAATAGGTCATCATTTAATTTTATAAAACCTTAACTGTAACTAATTAGTTGTACATTTAAAAGATATAAAAGAGTTATCTTTTTGGTACAGATTTGCAATTTGAATAATTGCTGTAAAGTTACTTAAACAAATAGGCCATCAACAGGTGAGGTATAAATAAATTCCAGCTCTAAAGTTGTATACATCAGGCTGCTCGTAACTCGTAACATATTTTGTTGTAGAGTAAAAGCTACAGCATAAAATTTGGTACGGATTATACAGGATGTTACAAATAAAAAGTGTTAAAATTTACTGTTATTTTTGAGAAACTTATTTTGAATTATTATTTATTTTTATTTACAAACTGTAGTCTAATATTGTATAAGAATTACCAAGAAATTACTTGATGAAATGTCGAAATATGTAATAAATCGTTAAGTCCTTTGAATAACAACAAAAAAATGTTTTTCATTAAGTTGAGAACATCTTTTGATAAGTCCTAGACTCCATTTTTCAATTATATCGTCGCCTATGCATAAAGTAAACGTCAGTAATTCTTGATTAATTAATAAGATGGTAGGTTTACAGCTAAGGGGGACTGCAGACTGGGGACGGCGCGGCAGCTAAGTAACCGGATATTATGAGAAAGGCCAGTTAACGCTGCAGCGGCGCTAACTCGATAAATTATGCAGAATCGAGTGCACGACTTGTTACATAACTCAAACAAATATTCAAGTTATAATAGTTTTACTTTGAAATCTTGCAGTAAATTTACCACATATTTACTGCTTGTAGGGTGACGGTAACGCGCTGGTTTATCATTGGGATTGTGATCTGGTCATGGTTCGAAGCCACCCATGTACTCTTCGATTTTAGAATGTCATAGTTATAAACACATCCAAAATTTAGCTTTTGCCTTTATCGGCGCGAAATTAAAAAAATAATAATCAGAAGTTTATGTGTTCTTTAAACTAAGTTCTTCTAGACTATTTAGGTAAATTTTATCGAGATCCGTTGAGCCATTCTGGAAATAACTTCTAAAAACATCCATCTATCTCAACATTCTCATTTATAATATTAGTAAGATTCAAAGTGATGTCAATGATCAACGAAACGGAACCTGCTTGGTTGACTAAAGCCTCGAGGGGCTCGAAACGTCTAACTTGGTTACGAGCCTGTACGAGACGTATATGAGCTGACGATTAAGTATCGTTTTATATTAAAGAATACAAAAGTTCTATCAGATTGCTGATAAATCACATCACGTTTTATTTACTCTATCCATTTAACAGACCGTTTTATCGTATGTACAAAACAAAGCTTACTTAGCGCGGTTTAAAAGCTCGCCGTTATAAAAGCTGCCGACGTGTTAGCAACACGAGAAGCTTTTAATAATTTGTAAGTGGGCGGCGAACAAGTGCTTTCGATGCTTTTAAACTTAGATCAATGAAATTTGTCTGCTATAAAATTGGTTGAGAAAACACAAGCTTTACTCGGCGGCGAATGTATTTTGTTAATACTCAGCTGCATGGTTGGATACAAATGGTTATATTGCTTTTAAAGGCAGATGTATATTTGAATATTATGTTTCAAATATCACTACGACCACGACCACACAGAAGACAGGCGTGAAGTGGAAGCAATTCCGCGTTTCGTCTGATGAGTGTGCGTCCCGGAGGCCTAATTTAGTCCTCTTTCCCTTCCCATCCTTTTCTTTATAAGGAAAGGATGGGAAGTGGAAGTGGACTTTCCGGATGAGAGGTTGCATGGAAAGGGAAGATATTTTCTTTCTGTGCATCCTCTCCTCCGTCGATTATAGGTAGGCAACGCATATACAATTGCGTATGTCTATGGGCAGCAGTCACTTCGCTATTTCGCTCGCTGGCCACCTTTTAGTATAAAAAAACTAAGTATTGGTTTTGTTAATATTTTATTAATCTTTAATCATATCGTCATCCCTGTCATTATCTTTGACAAAACAGAGATAAAAATATGTTTTAAACGGAAATTTTGCTCTCAGAAACCCACGGTTAATCAGCTAACTTATGAAATTTTAAAGTTTGATATTCTTCTAACATATTCATTAAAATTACATTTGATGTTATAAACATTGTATACTTTTTGGATTCTCAAGTATGAAAATAAATAAAAGGTTCGGTGTTAGTATAGGAACATGATATGAATACAGATTGAAAAAGGTAATTTCGAGGTGGTAAAAAGCTTTGGGAATAAATACAGCGCGGAGTTCGCGGGAACAGAATCAATTCGTGCAATCCTCAGAGATACGGCTGCGAATAGCAAGCTCGATGTATAATGCGCGCCAAATATTAGCTCTTTATTAAAAGTTTACACAGTCAAAAAAATACAACATCATAATGTTGCCCGTTTCATTCTCTATAAATAAAAAAGAGACAAAATTATGTTTATGTAGGTGTGTCAGAGCTGGAAACTCACAGTTAATTGTATTTTTAGAGAGTTTTCTTTTTAAGTGCTATTTTTCCTTGTAGTCGATCTCTTTTGACCTTGAAAATATTTCAATTGTAACTAAATCGAGACATAATTGTTTAATAGAGTTGTGTACTGTTTAAAATTAGCGATTTTAATGGATCTAAAATTTCTTTAAATAATACAATGTGTTTTGTGCACCGTACTATTGTAAGGAGGTCTCAGTTCGGAATTGATAATTGAAACTGGCAACTATTGTTGTCTTCTTCCATAAAGTTAGCTACTAGGGAAAAATAGTACAGTGGGTTCCCGTTGCCCTTTGCACCAGACCTTTCTGAGGTCATTTAATCCTCAAGGCTGCTGAGGCCTCTAGTGACTGCTTGCTCAATCAGGTGTATGGTTATAGCGCCACTACTACTGGTTATTGTTGTCTGAAAAAAATAATAAATCTAACATTATTCGCTTATGGAACATCTGCTTTGAATGATATTTCATAATGGGCGATAGAAATTTGATACCCAAGTAAAATAGCTATTATAACAAAATATAGCGTGCAGATGCTTTCAAATTTGCATCTTATTAAAAATAAAATTGAGACTTTATTAAATACAAGTTTACAAAGAATAGTATAGATTTAGTATGAGAAAGTTACACTAAGGAATTCTCTTAGTAACCAATTAACGAATGCGAATGTGAGACTGTAATTTTAACAATTATTAATATGTTTTGCCTAAGATTTTGTCCGCGCTGAAAAAAACTGCTTAAAAATACGGTCTAAAATTACTGAAATCGGCCTAGTAGTTTTTGAGTTTATTCGTTACATAAAAAAACTAAAAATTCTGCGTCTTTATAGTTAGTATAGATATAATGTAAATTTGCGAAATATTTATTCTTTCAACGTTATTTGATGTTATTTTAAATAGCGCTTTATCGTTAACCTCAGAACAAGTATCGTAAAAATAAAGAGCATGTTTATGTTACGACTGTACTAAGTTTTACTTTACTTACATTATTGTTGTAATACATGAGATTAGGTAAAGCCTCGATTTCATAAAAAAATATCTGCAGTATATTACATGATTATTTACCAGCACACTTGTAGGAGAATAGCAGTTGCTAAAGAGGTTATTTTATGTCTATTTCTCTCTGTAAAAATACACTAAGCATCACCCTTACTAAATATTTTAATAACTGTGAGTGTTGCAATGTATCGCTTAAATAACATGTAACCGATTAAAGCAGAAACCTACGCAATGTATCACCATCTCAAAGGCCGGCAACGCACTACTGTTATAAAAAAAAGTGTTGTGACGTCTTGGCAAATGTAAAAACAGACATTTTTCAAATAATATTTATTTAATAAAATGTGTGACTCGACAGATTCAGATTTTAGTTGTCCATTTGTTTGAAAATCATATTCAAAACTGGTATTGTAGAAAATACATAAGACACCATTTCGATAGGTATTTAGTATGTTGGTTTAGAAAGGAAATGTGAAACCACAGCGAGACTGTGTGGTTGCGGTGCACTGGTGGAAATTAAACGTTTAGTGTTAGCCGCCCGAATAAATACGTCATACTAAAGATGTTTAATAACCCATGAGTTTCCACTGCACTAAATTATATTAACAAACATTCTTTAACCGTTGGTTTCTGAGACCAAAATCTCCGTGTAAAACTTATCGTCATCCCTGTCATCATCTTTGACAAAACGTATGACAAAACACACAAAAATATGTTTTAAATGGGGATATTTGTCTCAGAAAGCCACGTTAAGTGTGTCTTTCAAAAATATTTACGAATAATTATAACACTTACATACATTTTTATTAAATTTCAGTAACATGAAATAGTAAAGTCGACATTGTGAAGAGATGATTTGATAAGTCTTTTATGAAATTAAATGTAGTAAAATTACTAATGTTATCACTACTTATAGTAGGCTTATTTATGTGAAGGCCATATATTTATGTTTAGTTAACCTTTTAATAGGAATTTTCTCTTAGAAAGTTTTATTAGCACGGGCGATTGCGCATTGCACGCTCTGTTCACTGCCTGCGAATGCAATTACTTACGAGCGAACGCTCAATTGATCGTTAATTTGCAATACATTCTCAGCTGCTCGTCACTTACTGATTTGTATCAACAGTTTTAGATTAGAATGCCTTAAGATAAAGTCAAGAAGTCTAAAAGTCATATTGGACTGATGTACCATTTGCCATATAAATTAGGGAGATTATTTTTTTAGGGAGGTTACTATTTTTTCCACAAAGACATAAGAGTCATATAACTCAATATTATAGCTGCTAAAATTAGACGACGAATATTTAACAGCTTGTCTCATTTTAACGGCCATTTCTTACGAGGGGAAATAATAAAATTGAGGTCGAAATTAATCTTTTAATTTTAAAAACAAAAGTGTTCAATGTAGCGGACCTCCGGAACCGCTCTGCTTGAAGTAATTTCTCATTATTAGCAAATACCGTTCTTTTTCCTTTCTTACATTAAATTTTTTAAATTAAATTGGATGGTCTTTTATCTGAACTCTTACAGTCATAAGCAAATTCTTGCAATGCCATCTTTTTTTAAGGTGGCGAACGAGCATGCGGTAACCTGAATTCGCCGAAATAGCGAAGCAACTGCTACCTATAGGCATTTGCAACTGCAGATACGTTACCTATCTTTAAACGACGGAGGACGAGATGTATAGGAAGATAATATTTTCCCTTATTTTGCGTTCTCTCCACCGACAGATTCACTTTCTCTTTCCATCCTTTCATATAAGAAAGGCAACTAAAATTAGGTAGGCACGCACTATCATAAGACGGAACGCGAACTCACACTTCACGCTTGTCTTCTGTGTCTACCGTATGTTAACTAGTAGCGATTATAAGTTGTATATGTAAGTATGGATATATATGTACTTGCACCTTTGTATGTGGTTAGTCAACGGATTTGCTGCAAGTCCATTGACTGAACTTCATTAATCACTCGACAAGCAATGTTCGCATTGAAGTGTCGTTAACATTTATGCTTAGCTAATGTTATTGAGTAGAAAATCTTAGAACACGTGGGAATTAAGTAATAATCACAGAAATTATATGAAAAACAATAATTTACTTTATAGATATATATTTATCATGACTACATATTTACATCGATTTTCAAATAAAAAAAAACAAATAAAAAAATATTTCAAATTTACTTTTTATATAATACATTTAGCGTTGGACAAAAAAGTTACAACGGTATGGTGCGGAATGTTAAATTTTACAAAGCAAAACATACTTCAGAGTAAAATCCGAAATGAAAGTCGTAAATTCTGCTTACTCTTTTATGATATATAGTTGTCATAGAGTTCATCTACTATGAAAAATGCTCTCACATTGAAAGTTCTGTCTCATTATAAAGAATAAATGCATAAGGATTTTTGGCTGAAAGCACTATATTTTTTGTTGCGACGTTAATGTGTGAATTACTTCGTACTTACATTCATGAAACCTAATTTTTAAGAAAATTTATGAACAAAATATTTTAGTTTTACAAGATCGCCAAATAATATTTTTAAAGTGAAGGGGGTTAAGGCTTAAGATCAATTGTAGGCCTAAAAAACATGACCTCTATTAATATCCTGTTTTAACATTGGTAGAGTCTCTGAAACGAAAATTGTGTTCACAAACATCAAAAATATAAAATGTTTTACTTCTACTTATTGAGATGAACTTGATCAGTTTAAAAATGATTAATTTAAATTAAAAAAAATCCTTGAGTACTGTCCCTACAGAAAGCTTCAATAATGGTTAAAAAATAAAGCATGTAAATGTTCTTTGATAGAATCATAATATACAAAGAAAGATATTTGAATAATTGATTATTCGTCTTCGTAATAATGGAAATCAAATGTTTTTGATCGAATTTTCTTTTTACGATTCGTGAAAACTTAATTTCTAGTTAAAGTCAAAAAATTAATGGATTTTTTACCAACAATAATCGCTATAGAAAGCTCATTAGAAGATATTTCATGTTCAATCAGTTCTAAGTACTAAGTTTAAACTAATAAAGTTGAAAACAAATAAGTAGGTAACTTACAATATGCCTTCAAAACTTAACAGAGAAATGCACGTTGAAACTAAGAAACTTTTGTTATAAAGTCAGTTCTGATTCTAGTTGTATTAAATATCTCATGATTAATATAATTTGCCTCGACTTATAACAATTAAGTAAGGGTCCAGGTGAGCAATAGCTTTTCGAGTTTCGGGTTCAGTAAGTACCGAACTTTCAACATTTTAAACTTTGATTCTATAATTAAATTTACAAATTCGAGAAAATTAATAAAGCTGCAGCATTATTTTCACATATGATACTTACTTTATTAAATACTAGCTATCGGCCGCGACTCCGTCCGTGCGGGAATAAAAATAAATAAATTAGTGACCTATGTGTTCTTCTAGACTATGTTCTACATCTATGCCAAATTTCAACGAGATCCATTAAGGCGTTCTGGAGATACCATGCAAATATTCATCTTTCCAAACATTCGTATTTATAATATTAGTAAGATAGGTATAGATAGTCTTTGTCAATGATAAAATAACGATATTGTAAGAAAACCTCAAAAGTAATATATTTATTGGTGAAGTTTTATGACATGAGATTTTATTGAGATTTTATTTTATATAGTTTTCAAGAGTTTCTTCAAATCCCATTTATCATAAGTAATTGGCGAACGCAGATATCTCATGAATATTCTAACACCAAAGTTATACCAAGATACAAGGATTTTATCCGCAGTATTTTTTTTTATTTCTACAGAATAAAGCTCGTCTGTCGTAACTTTTTAAAGATACTTTAAACTTTATCTAACTTAGCTTAATCCTGTTTTCGAATTGGATAAATAGGATTATTTGAAATTATTCATTTGAATAAGCAATACTTGTAGTTATTCTTCATTTATTTCAAAAGTATTATAAATAAAAACGGAACGCAACTATTACATTCCATAATCCAATGCTGCAAATTTTAAAATATATAAATCGTTTTTCTATCTCCTTTAAAATCAACTACAACGCTATTTTACTTCATGATTTATGTATTTTAGACCTATATTAAAATAGCTTACAAATAAGGTTTTCTTAAACTGTGCTTGTATAAAAAGAAAACATGAAAGCTAAATTTAGACAATTGTAAGTGGTCGTGTTAATCGCATAATGATTGCAAATTCATGAAAACGATCCCCAATAACAAATGAAGACGTTCTAATGGTCAACAGCGAGAAGCTAATTGCGACTTTTGCAGACCATTAGTCAAGTAACTAAGTCTGAATTAGTATTTATGGGAACCGTGTAACCATTAGCAAATAGTTCACAAGCATTAGGGAAGATCTTTGGAATTAGAAAAACTCGCTAGTTAAGATCAGCTGCACTAGAATGAAT